GGGTATCAGCCGGTTCTGGCACCGTGGCATGAGAGCCAGATCGAGGCCCCCGCTGTGGATGAGTGGGTAAGGCGCTCGGAGGAGACGTGGAACGCTGCTCATGTCCATCTGCAGCGTGCCATACGTCGACAAAAGACGAGCGCCGACCTACGCCGCAGCGAGGGGCCAGTGTACGCACCTGGAGATCGAGTCTGGCTCTCAACCAGGAACCTGCCCCTCCGCCTGCCCTGCCGGAAGCTGGGTCGGCGGTTTGTGGGGCCTTTTAAAGTCCTGAGGAGATTGAATGAGGTGTGTTACAGGTTAGAACTACCTATTGATTACAAGAATATTAACCCCTCATTCCATGTGTCTCTCCTCAGGCCGGTGGTAGCTGGCCCACTCCAGGACTTCGAGATTGAGGAGACTCCTCCGCCCCCGTTGGAGATCGAGGGGGCTCCGGCGTACACGGTTCGGACCATCCTGGATTCCAGACGCCGGATGGGGGGTCTTCAATATCTCGTGGAGTGGGAGGGGTACGGTCCGGAGGAGCGGTGCTGGGTGCCGAGGAGGGATATTCTGGATCCGTCCCTGATGACCGAATTCCATCGTGGTCATCCTACGCGCCCGGCGCCGCGCCCTCCTGGGCGTCCCCGAGGCCGGAGTCGGCGCACGGCTGGAGCCGCGCGTCAAGGGGGGGGTACTGTCACGGTTTCGGCCGAGGCAGCTCCTCCTCCGTGTTCGGGCAGGTTTCGCCGTTCGTCGTCTCCGGAGTACTAGCTGCCACCGCTCTATGTTTTCTGTTTGACTAGTTTGGTCTGTTAGTCACACCTGTCTTGTGGTATGTCTAATTGAGCACCCTATTTAGTTTCCCTGTTGTGAGTGTTGTGTTGTGTGTAATTGTTTCGTGTTGGTGTCGTTTTCGTACCGGTGTTTGGTACGCCACCTCTGTATTTTGCTTACTTCTCGGTTGAGGAGTTTTACGCGCCTGTTTGTTTTGCGCGCTTCTGTTTTACGCCTGTGTGCGTTGTGCCTCTGGCTATTTTGGGATTATTGACTCACTTTTCCCAGTAAAGTATTTTTGGACTCTCTTTCTGCTTCTGCACTTGATTCCACACCACACCATTTCTACACGGCCCTGACAAACTTAGCCTACTGTTCTGACTTGGTGGTGCACATGTAGCCTATAACCTGTTTTAGAGAAATGTAATCATTGAATGTTGTAAGAGCTTTCATTCTCTGCTTATATGCCCCCTTTATTTATCCTACGGTTCTGACTTGGTGTACAGGGAGAACACTGTAAGGACGGCCCGTGTTCTGAATTCAATTCACATTTCAAAAGTGCTGAACAAATATTTATATTGACTACGTCCATCCTAGCTCGCTCATTAATGTCTTAATCGAAATTACGGATTGCCTCTTATCCACTCGTCGTCCCCTTATGCCATAGTTTGTACATCTCAATTGTCAGTAGAAACCACGTGTTTTAGCAAGTCAGCCATATCAGCTATGTTTTTTTAAAAGGCAGTAAATTAGGCTGAATGAACTGTTTCGCTGCCAGACAAGGCTCCGCTGATAGCCAGGTGTAGCAGTGGTAAGGTGTTGGGACTGCTATTGGGACTCTGCTGCTGGGAAAGCTTTATGGAGGCCCTAACAGTTTGTGGGCACCATTTGTCAACGTTATAGTGCAATTAATGTATTGTTTAGTGTTGTGTTGTGTAGTGGGTTTGCTGGCATGCATAAAAAAAAAAGAAATGTGTTTGCCCCACCAAGATTTACATGCTAAAATCGGCACTGTGTAGTGTATAAAGTATTTACAAATAAATATATGGGGGGACTGGAGATGACGCAGACAATTACACTGACAGAAGCCACAATCTATCTGCAATATTAAAGCTGATCTCCCCTCTTAAAAAAATCAACAACACAGGTATGATGCTGGAGAATAAATACTTTATGTCGGCTTGAGGCTGTCATTCACAGGAAAAATTTATTTCATTTCTTGTGCAACCAGAGCTGGTGGGTTACACTGACATGGAAAACTGAAGAAAACTACTTTGTTGACGGGGGCACTTGACTCTCAAATGAAAAGTCAGTACAATCCATAGCTGCTCAGTACCTACTGAACCTAGAAGAAGAACATAACTTCTCCACTGTGGAACAGATGGCAGCCAAGACGATCTACTGAATACGTTAACAGCGTGTGGGCGTTTTAAAGACGACCAGGAGAAGAGCGTGTAAACAATATTGATTGGTTTCAATGTGTGGATGAAAGCAGTAGGTCTGGTACATGTAACTCTCTCTGCAAGGTTGCTCCGGCAGTACAATTGTACAGTCTGTAATTCTCTAGTTCTAGTCATTAGTAATATTGATCTATTTCATAACCCGTCCACAGTCAGGAGAATTCATCTTATTTAACGCACTGGGCCACTCTAAACCCGTCCACAGTCAGGAGAATTCATCTTATTTAAGACCACTGGGCCACTCTAAACCCGTCCACAGTCAGGAGAATTCATCTTATTTAAGACACTGGGCCACTCTAAACCCGTCCACAGTCAGGAGAATTCATCTTATTTAAGACACCGGGCCACTCTAAACCCGTCCACAGTCAGGAGAATTCATCTTATTTAAGACACCGGGCCACTCTAAACCCGTCCACAGTCAGGAGAATTCATCTTATTTAACGCACTGGGCCACTCTAAACCCGTCCACAGTCAGGAGAATTCATCTTATTTAACGCAAATGGGCCACTCTAAACCCGTCCACAGTCAGGAGAATTCATCTTATTAACGCACTGGGCCACTCTAAACCCGTCCACAGTCAAAGGGGAATTAATTTATTTTAAGACACTGGGCCACTCGTACCACTTTGATGGAAGTTAACAGGGTCAACACGAAAAGAGGGAAAATTGAAATTTAGCATAAATAAATGCACCCCCATTGTGGAACTGTATAACCAGGTGCAAAGACGAGAGACAACTAGACTGTCTTTCTGGAATTACAGAAACAAAAACTGAATGAATAAAGTCTTTTTCAATAATTCCCCAAATTTCAATCCCAAAACCCAAAGTACCAAATCGAAAGGAGGTACCCCATGCCAAGAGAACCTAAGCTGGACGAGACCAAAAGTCCTCGCTCCTCCGCGCAGAGGAATCAGGGCTCTACCGAGCCCAAGATTCTTCTATTTTTCCCCGATAATCTCCTCGTCCTTTATCCTTTTCCCTCTCCTCTTTCTTATCTCTTCCTCTCCTCCTTCTTCCTCCTCTTCTTCTCCTCTTCCTCTCCTCTTCCGCCTCCTCCTCCTCTCCTCCTCTCCTCCTCTTGGAGTCCATGTAGAGAACAGCCGAAAGTGAGCGTTGTTTGGGCAGATATATTCGGATATATTTCTTCTTAATTGCCCTCATATTTCATATTTAAGGCCTTTAGCACAGATGTTGTCTAACAAACGTTCACAAGTGTTTTGTGAAGCCAGTGAGGCTAGGAGACATGGAGTGAAGGTGATATCTTTCTGAGTGTGTCAAATAGACACTAAGAATACCATGCCTTAGCCAAAACACAACCTGTCATCACACCACAAATGGAACAGCAGATCCCCCAAAACAAGTACCTCTCACGTTCCTTTTCATGAAAACGTTTCATTGCAGAAAAAGATAATGGTCAATAGCTTTGATTACTGCATTTCTCATGTCTAGTGGTGACACAATTCCGTTAGGATGCTTCAACCGTGTGTCCGATAATGGATCAAGTCAGTCTCACCATCCTTTGTTATTTTGTCTGTAGAGGCTACTTTATCACCATTTCTTAGTTCACATTTTCCCCACATCATCTGGCCCATTGTTTGTTGATTTGTTTAATTTACCACTAACCAAACTGAAGGACATTTTATGAAGCGTAACGGCAAGACTTAGCCATTGTTTTGTTTCTCCGGAATCCAGATAGACGACGCCCATTAAACAGTCATTAGTTATCAAAAAATTATAAAATGACTCTTAGCGGATCCATAGAAATGAGCTTAAACTGTGTTTCTGTAAACTTTGATTTGGTGGACTCCTACTACATCCATCTTAATCACTTCACTAATTAGCTTTTAATTAGAAGAGAAACTCAAAGGCCTAAAGATCAGAGGGGTGCAGCTGGATGTCTCAGAGGAACAAAGGCCCCAGCTTCTCTGGTGTGCTAACGTTACTTTTCACACCAGTTCTGTAGGTAATGTGGATAATGTATACCATTTGTCAGGATTTACTGCCACGTGATCAGCAGCACGCCCACATCAGAGGTAGTAGCTGACAGAAGAGAGGTGGAAGAGTGATAGAGGTTTTCTAACTTGGCTAATCGGACAAATAAAAACAGACAACTTAAAATGGCCGTCAAACCGTTCATTATTTTCAGACTTTTACTGAGGCTTTTCTCTCCTCTTAGAATCAGTGTTTGCTGTCAGCTAATACAGTATTTCCTTGGATTGAACACAGCCATAATGAGAATCTGTGACCTTTACACTTCTCAACAGCTGCTCTCTGTACACTGAGGAGGTGGAGGAGGTGGAGGAGGGGGAGGCAGAGGAGAGATTAAGGAGGAGGATGGAGGGATGGAGTGATGGAGGTGGAGGGATGGAGGTGGACGGATGGAGCCTTAGTCACATGCATACCTAAGAACCCGGGAGTCTCTGGAGGAATACATTACGGTCCGAACCGACGCCTGAGAAGTCGCTGCTTGGCTTTTCAAAGGAGGACGGGAGGGAGAGGTAAACAGCTGAGGGCTGTAGATCGTAGGTGGCAGAGAGAGAGTTATGCACTGTGGGAAATAGAAAACATGGCTTGCGGCTGAGCAGCAGGGCCAGAATAAGGAGGCTGGGAGGCTAGGAGGCTGGGAGTCTGGGAGGCTGGGAGACTGGGAGGCTGGTATTCTGGGAGACTGGGAGGCTGGGAGGGTGGGAGGCTGGGAGGCTGGGGAGGCTAGGAGGCTGGGAGGGTGGGGAGGCTAGGAGGCTGGGAGGCTGGATGCTGGGGAGGGTGGGAGGCTGGGAGGCTAGGAGACTGGGAGGCTAGGAGACTGGGAGGCTAGGAGGCTGGGAGGGCTGGGGAGGGTGGGAGGGTGGGAGGCTGGAGGCTGGGGGGGGCTGGGAGGTGGGAGGTGGGAGCTGGAGGCTGGGAGGCTAGGAGGGTGGAGGGTGGGAGGCTGGGAGGCTAGAGGCTGGGAAGCTAGAAGCTGGGAGGCTATGAGGGTGGGAGGGTGGGAGGGTGGCGAGGCTGGGAGGCTGGAGGCGGGGAGGCCTAGGAGGGGGGAGTCTGGGAGGCTGGGAGGCAGGGAGGCTGGGAGGCTGTCAGTCTGGGAAGCTGGGAGGCTCAGAGGGTGGGAGGCTGGGAGGCTGGGAGGCTGGGAGGCTGTGAGACTGGGAGTCTGGGAGGCTGGGAGGTACTGGGAGGGTGGGAGGCTGGGCTGGGAGGGTGGGAGGTGGGAGGCTGGGAGGCTGGAGGCTGGGAGGCTGGGAGGCTAGAGGGTGGGAGGTGGGAGGTGGGAGGCTGGGAGGGGGAGGCAGGGGAGCTGGGAGGCTGGGAGGGGCTGGGAGGCTCAGGGGAAGCTGGGAGGCTAGAGAGGAGGCTGGGAGGCTGGGAGGCTGGGAGGCTGGGAGGGAGGGGGCTGGGAGGCTGGGGGGCTGGGAGGCTGGGAGGCTCAGGGGTGGGAGGCTGGAGTAGGAGCTGGGAGTGGAGCAGGGAGGCTGGGAGCTGGGAGGCTGGGAGGCTAGGGTGGGAGGCTGGGAGGCTGGGAGGCTGGGAGGCTGGGAGGCAGGAGGCTGGGAGGCTGGGAGGCTGGGAGGCTCAGAGGGTGGGAGGCTAGGAAGCTAGGAGGCTGGGGGGCGGGGCTGGGAGGCAGGAGCTGGGAGGCTGGGAGGCTGCATTTGGAGGCAGGAGGCTGGGAGGCTGGGAGGCTTAGGAGGGTGGGAGTTGGAGTCTGGGCGTCTGGGAGGTGGGAGAGGGGAGGCTGGAGGCTAGGAGGCGGGGAGCTTGGGAGGCTGCATTCTGGGAAGCTAGGAGTTTTGGAGACTGGGAGGCTGGGAGGGTGGGAGGGTGGGAGACTGGGAGGGTGGGAGGGTGGGAGGGTGGGAGGACTGGGAGGGTGGGAGGGTGGGAGAGTGGGAAGGTGGGAGGGTGGGAGGGTGGGAGACTGGGAGGGTGGGAGGGTGGGAGGGTGGGAGACTAGGAGGGTGGGAGGGTGGGAGGGTGGGAGACTGGGAGGGTGGGAGGCTCGGAGGGTGGGAGGCTGGGAGGCTCAGAGGGTGGGAGGCAGGGAGGCTGGGAGGCTCAGAGGGTGGGAGGCTGGGAGGCTGGGAGGCTGGGCCCCATATGGTCCACATGGCCTGAGGCTGGATGTGGAGGAGGAGTGGAGAGAATGGGGCGGGCCGGCAGGGAGAGACTTGAGAGGTTTCTTACAGTCCAACACTATGAGCTATGAAACGTACTGTCAGCATATGATTAATCGTCAAGGGCCTCAAAGTGTCTTTGTAATGGAAAAATGCAAACTTTCGAATATGTCAACAAACATAAATATGCTAACGATATTGCTCGCATAGCACCTGGCAAAAGTATTTTCCCGAATTCCATTAAATTAACAACAAAGGACAACAACATCAACAACATGTCAGTAAAAAAAGAAAAAAAAACATTTTTTCATTAAAAAAATGTCACAGACCAGCGAGGCAACAGTCATAGGGTTCGTCCCAAATGGCACCCTATTCCCTACATAGCGCACTACTTTTATCCAGAGCCCTATGAGGAATAGGGGTGCCGTTTGGGACGCAACCACAGTCATGCTGTTAGAGGAAAGTGGGCCACTACTGCAGGACAGAACCAAGCAGCCGTTTGACGGAACAGCTGAAGGCTTCACGGAGCATTTTCGGAGGAGTGAAACCTCAAACAGAAATGGGGCGCGTCCCAAAATTGCACCCTATTCCCAAATATAGAGCACTACCAGCCTGGTCAAAAAAGTGGTGTCCTATAAAGGGGAATAGGGTTTCCATTTGGGACAGAGATATGGAAATACCCCCAGGTCACCTAGCTAGAGGGAGCCACCGGGCCCAGTCTGGGCTCCCCGCTGGGCTGCTTAGCGCCTGAATAAAAGACGGGCCACCCTGCCTCATGGAACACACAGACACACTAATGAAACGAGTTGTAAGAATTGTAAATTAGTAGCACCCCGTTCCGCCCCCCCCCCGCTGTCAGAACACTGGGGTACAGTAAGTGAATGAGTGTTTCTGTGTAAAAGCCTGCTTGTGTTCACGTGGACTCCTTAGATGGCTGTATCATCATAGGATGACTCAGAGGAGGGTTGAGGAGTGTGGATCCACAAAGGGTCAAGACAGGTCCTTGTTTTGCAATCCCTCAATGCTTACAGGTGTGTATGTCTGTGTGGATTTGGACTTTCTGCATGCACGTGTAGCAGATGGGGGATCTGCAAAACTCACTCCTCAAACCTGAAGTGTCCCCAACGTTAGCTTTTCGGTGGCGCGGCTGGTAAGATGCTTCAAGGAGGGTTGGTAATGTGTGTTCGAGAGGCAGAGGTCCTTGGTTCAAGCCTCAGTGTGAGCCGAATCAAGAGGAAGGCGATACTTGCTAAGCAGGTAGCGTGACGTCCTTCACACACGAGCAGGTGAGTATTTGTGTCCACTTGGGGCGTGGTCGGCGACTGATTGTCTCAACACGTTTAGACTGTGTGCACCTCAACCAATTTACTCCATTGTTAAAGGAATCAAACTGAATTGAATAAGGTAAGTATGCTGAATAATTTTTTTAACAATTGAGCGACTCCAGCATAAGCAGGGGTTAGGATGCTCTCCATTGATTTTCCATCTAAATTGCCTTTTTCAGAGCAAAAATAAATAGCTCCGTGCCACGTAAATAGCGAACATGATAACAGGTCTCACACACGGAGGGAAAATTACAGCATAGTTTCGTTTCCATTTTATTTGTGACTAGATAATGGCAGGGAATCAAACAGAGACCATTTCCATATTAATCTCGTTCTATTTTCTGTTCCCCCGATGCTTTTGTATCTCCGTGTCACTTCCTCTTTGTGTTGTCGCCTATTTGAAATAGGTTTTGGGGACGATTGCATCTTGTCAAGTTTTCTGCTTGACAAATCACAAATGCTCTCATAGCCGAGATGTCTTTTTGTCCCAAAGGTAGAGATATGTCACAGGAGGTTTGAGTCCCAAATGGCACCCTATTCCCTATATAGCACACTACTTTTGACCAGGGCCCACCTGTTCCCTATACAGTGCATTCTGAAAGCATTCAGACCCCTTACTTTAACTAGGCAAGTAAGTTAAGAACAAATTCTTATTTACAATGACGGCCTACACCAGCCAAACCCGGACGACGCTGGGCCAATTGTGCGCCGCCCTATGGGACTCCCAATCACGGCCGGTTGTGATACAGCCTGGAATCGAAACCAGGGGGTCTGTAGTGACGCCTCAAGCACTGAGATGCAGTGCCTTAGACCGCTGAGATGCAGTGCCTTAGACCGCTGCGCCACTCGGGAGCCACATTTTCCACATTTTGTTACGTTACTGCCTTATTCTAAAATTGAATAAATTATTTTTGCAAATGTTTTAAAAATAAAAACCAGAATTACCTTATTAACGTACGTATTCAGACCCTTTGCTATGAGACTCGAAATTAAGCTCAGGTGCATCCTATTTCCTTTGATCATCCTTGAGATGTTTCTACAACTTGATTGGAGTCCACCTGTGGTAAATTCAATTGATTGGACATGATTTGGAAAGGCACACACCTGTCTATATAAGGTCCCACAGGATTGTGTTGAGGCAAAGATCTGGGGAAGGGTACCAAAAAATGTCTGCAGCATTGAAGGTCCCCAAGAATACAGTGGCCTCCATCATTCTGAAATGGAAGTGGTTTGGAACCACCAAGACTCTTCCTAGAGCTGGCCGCCCGGCCAAACTGAGCAATCGGGGGAGCGGGGCCTTGGTCAGGGAGGTGACTAAGAACCTGATGGTCACTCTGACAGAGCTCTAGAGTTCCTCTGTGGAGATGGGAGAAACTTCCAGAAGGACAACCATCTCTGCAGCACTCCACCAATCATACTTTTATGGTAGAGTGGCCAGACGGAAGCTACTCCTCAGTAAAAGGCACATGACAGCCCGCTTGGAGTTTGCCAAAAGGCACCTAAAGGACTCTCAGACCATGAGAAACAAGATTCTCTGCTCTGATGAAACCAAGATTTAACTCTTTGGCCTGAATGCCAAGTGTCACATCTGGAGGAAACCTGGCACCATCCCTAAGGTGAAGCATGGTGGTGGCAGCATCATGCTGTGGGGATGTTTTTCAGCGGCAGGGACTGGGATGCTAGCCAAGATTGAGGGAAAGATGAATGGAGCAAAGTACGTAGATATCCTTGATGAAGCGCTCAGGACCTCAAACTGGGGCGAATGTTCATCTTCCAACAGGACAACGACCCTAAGCACACAGACAAGACAACACAGGAGTGGCTTCGGGATAAGTCTCTGAATGTCCTTGAGTGGCCCAGCCAAAGCCCGGACTTGAACCCGATCGAACATCTCAGGAGAGACCTGAAAATAGCTGTGCAGCGACGCTCCCCATCCAACCTGACAGAGCTTGAGAGGATCTGCAGAGAAGAATGGGAGAAACTCCCCAAATACAAGTTTGTAACGTCATACCCAAGAAGACTCGAGGCCAAAGGTGCTTCAACAATGTAAAATGATTAAAGGGTCTGAATACTTCTGTAAATGTTATATTTCCTTTTATTATTATTATTATTATTATTATTATTTAATTGTTTATTCTAAAAACCTCTATTTGTTTTGTCATTATGGGGTATTGTGTGTAGATTGATGAGAAGAAGAAAAAAGATTTAATCCATTTTAGAATAAGGCTGTAATGTAACAAAATGTGGAAAAAGTCAAGGGGTCTGAATACTTTCCAAATGCACTATGGGTCCTGGTCAAAAGTAGTGCACTATATAGGGAATAGGGTGTCATTTGGGACGCATAGAGGACCTCTGTGTTCCAGCATCAATGTTGTTCAGTATCGTCCCAGGATACTCTGTTCCCATAAATATTTGAAAGGGGGTTGAGGTATATTTTAATTTGTACCCAATTGGAGGACAATAGGAGGGAGCTAGACAGTGTAGTCTGGACAATGGGAGAGGCTAGACGGTGTAGTCTGGACAATGGGAGAGCATAGACAGTGTAGTCTAGACAATGGGAGAGCATAGACAGTGTAGTCTGGACAATGGGAGAGCATAGACAGTGTAGTCTAGACAATGGGAGAGCATAGACAGTGTAGTCTGGACAATGGGAGAGCATAGACAGTGTAGTCTAGACAATGGGAGAGCATAGACAGTGTAGTCTGGACAATGGGAGAGCATAGACAGTGTAGTCTGGACAATGGGAGAGCATAGACAGTGTAGTCTGGACAATGGGAGAGCATAGACAGTGTAGCCTAGACAACGCTTCAACCTTGTCGGGTTATGCTGAGACATAAAATAGTACTTTGGACCTTAATGTTGGAATCGTTTTGGGGGCTTGACTTCACAATGCAGTTTATTACATCTCTGGTTTTATGGCCTCACAAGCTGCTCTGCAGACGCTTCTTTCATTCATTTGGGATTTTTCATCTTTAAAAAAAAAAGAATACCTTCAAGTTTAAACACCCATGACTTCACGCATCCCATTGGAACGTCATAGTATCAGCGATTATCAGGGGGATGAAATCCAACAATCATAAAACGACACCAGAAGAACGCACAAGAGCTGGGCAGACACTCGGTTAACGTGGTGAGCACTGTCTTTTCCCACAGAATTGCTGAATGTGGGTAAATTCATTCCCTGTCTAATGTAGTGCGGCCTGGGACACATTACCACGTTACCATACGGAGGCTAAACGGATCCCCTCCGTGCCCCTTTAAGCCAGTTGGTGTATCCACGGTTACCGTTAGGCCCAAACCTCGCCCCCGCTACCCGCCCGCCCTATCATGGTCCTATCACGGCCAAAGCAGCAGCAAATTGAGAGACGATGCTCATTTTCAGCCTCACCGCGTTTGCATTTGCCCCAAAATCGAGACGGTCGGTCAGCGCTTTGCTGCGCAGCGCTCGTTCACAAGACCCATTACCTCAGAAATCTGAGAAACGTTTTAAAGGTGACACACGTGCGCGGTTGGCAGAGGGAAAATGCTTCATCATCAGATGAATTAGCTGTCAGAAAAGCGGCCAGGCATCCTATCTATCTATCTTTCTTTTTTTTCTCTCTCTGTGTTTGAACGTATTGTAAGGCAAGGCCCTTTTCTGTAGCATAATTTCAATTTGTTCCAGTACAA